CCTGCTGAGGATCCCTACCATGGTACTTTAGATACGATAGTGTTTCACATCCCTGTCAGCCTTCCTGGGCTGTGCTGGTCCATGAGAGCATGCTGGTCTTGCTTGCTGTCCCACTGCACCTGTAATCCCAGCTCAATGACTGTGCTGAGACTTCTGCTGCCTCTTGTTGATTTCTGTGCTGAATGTATTCACGCACAGGCCCCTGAGATAGGACCCTTTGTTGTGCTTTCCATGGGGCAAGTGTGAGAGCCTCCTACCTTATGTAGCCTGATGACTAAAGAAGAAAATGGAAAACTTTAAAAGTATTCCTGTTTGAAGGGACTAACTGGGGATAAAAGGTCAGGAAGAGTTAACAAAATAGTGACGTTCTGAATAATTTAAGTAAAGATGATCTGCAGAGCTATTAAGTAGAGTTGTTCTGTTCAACTACGAAGGGTATTAATACAAAATTCATATATACTTCCTGGTCTTTTGGGTATTAAGCTTTCTGCAATTTGCTTTTTTCCTGTCTTGAACACTGAAAAAAAGAATATAAAGATGTTCTGATATGCTTTTAGTGCCTTGTACTGTAAGAGAAGCACTTTCTGGGACACAAACCTTGAAAAAGTAGCAAACTGGAGTTGGAATAAAGGCAGATGATGTTGATTATTTCAGTCATTTTTCATCTGCTTATAATTTTCTAATACAGGTAATTTTTCCAGGCACAATCCTGAGTTTCATTTTAAAGAAACTAATTTGATGGTCTCTTCAACAGAGTTTTCAGATAAAAATATTGCCTTAAAAGATGACATGCAAATAAATGTTCTATTTGTATTAATATATTGCACCAGGAAGCATATAAGGGTATTTGCTGTCGGTGAAGCTAAGAGGAAATTAAAAAATGCATTTCAGCTATTGGTTTAATGTTGCTCAGTCTTGAAAACCACGGAGCAGTAAATCTATTTCTGAAAGTGCATATAACTTAAATACGTGTATGTTCCACCTAGCATTCACCAGCCTGATTTGAGTGTCTTTATGTTATTTTTTTATGGCCTAAACCAGTTGTATGTTGCAGTACGTGAAGAGGGTTTACCTCTTGTCTTATCTCCGTAGATGATGTGCTGCACACGTTGACTGGAGCTATGTCCCTGTTGCGACGATGTAGAGTGAATGCTGCTCTGACTATACAGCTCTTCTCCCAGCTGTTTCACTTTATCAACATGTGGCTTTTTAACAGATTAGTTACGGCCCCAGATTCAGGTTTATGTTCACATTATTGGGGAGCTATTGTTCGTCAGCAGTTGGGCCACATTGAAGCCTGGGCAGAAAAACAGGGTTTGGAATTGGCTGCTGATTGCCACCTGAGCAGAATAGTGCAGGTGAGTGTTTGTATTTCTGATCAACACTTCTCTCATCAGCGTATATTCAAAGAGAATATTTGTATATTCTGTGTGCCTAAGGATCTGCATGTGGACAAGTGTAGTTTGTGTGAATCGAGTGTGGAACATTGAGGTAGCATCCAAAGACACAAGATGATTTCAACATCAAGAATATTTAAGTTACAAGTGAAATTAATAATTAGTGATTTTAGCCAACACGCTGTTCAATTTTGATTTATAAGACAGCTGTAACTATGCTGAACAAAGACAAGAAGAGTAGCTGAAAGATTGAAATGTCACATTTAGTTTTAATCTATCTTAGAGGTACAGGAGATGTATTTAGTAGGTTGTTTTGAGGATATTTAAGTTTTTCTTACAAATCTGGCTTCTTGCTTCGTCTTTTCTTATTTCTTGCCTAAAGAACACTCAGAAAAAAGGCTTAAGGCTTCATTCTGGTTCGGATTTGACTCTCTGACTTTTTTTTTCACCCCATAGGCAACCACATTGCTTACCATGGAAAAATATTCACATGCAGATGTTCCAAATATTAACAGTACTTGCTTTAAGCTGAATTCTCTGCAGCTACAAGCTTTGTTGCAGAATTATCACTGTGCTCCAGATGAACCCCTCATCCCAACAGTAAGTCTCCTCTGTGACTTTCTGTGCTGTTTTAACGTACCTGAAGAACGTAGACTTAACGTAAAAACACTGCCTGCAAGTAATTATTTTACTGTTAATTAGTTTGGAATTGTTACAAGAAGAGTCAGAGTGGGTAGTCGACTTTCCATACAATAAGAAATATTGGGTGCTATCAGCCTGTTTCTGGCCACTGACTTGGGTGACTTGACTGCAAATTGAGCAGTATATTGCCAAAAATCTCTCTTGCACTGGGTTGTAAAGTAAGACAAGACCGAATGTTGAGCATCCACAGAGAGGTGTCACTGCATTCTCACACTGTGGATGAAATGCAGTATGGCGGTAGAGCAGAGGTGTACAGAGCACTCCCAAAAGCTGGTTCTATGTATAACCAGAAGAAAAAAAGGTTTGATAAATCGCAGAAATCAAATGAAAGGAGGAGGAAAACTAGGGGTTTTATTTTTACATCAAGCTGGCCTAAATTTTAGCATGAAGGTAACAGAAAATGGAGGAACTCCTTGATGAGAGAGAGAGAAGAGCCTTTTCATTGTGCGCTTTTTTGAATAGTTCAGGATAAATAGAAGAATGTAGTTCCAACTGCTGCTTGGACCTTTGCTTTTTTGCAAAGTTGTTAGGAATTTGTTTTTTAACTTCTGAATTAATTTTCCTCCGTTCATACAATCTAGTAACTGATATCCTACTGAAGTCTTACAGATCTCTGTAAAACGTGGAAGGAAGAATACTGAGTGCTGGGTCCAACCACAGTAGCTGTGGTTGTGAAAAGTACATTGGTTCCATAGAGCTTTTTGTGATGCTAAGGGAAGAGTTATGCACTAAATGCACAGACCTTTAAAGGTCTCTGCTGCATCTTGAGTGATCCTGCTCTTGGGTTATGTACTTCTACAGTGCTGTTTGAAAAACAGACATCTACCTTAAGGGATCCTTCATATTATACTGAGCTCCCATAAATTAGTTCTGTAAAACTTCTGAACTAGGGATGTGTATATGCCGTTGGATCTCTGTGGGTATAAGATCCTTCTGGAGCTGAAAATCCTGGTTTACACAAGCTGGCTGTTTGCTTTCTATGTATTTAGTCTTGGAGAAGTATATTTACACTCAAGGACATGTCAAAATTTTAAAGCTGCCTTTGATTTCACCTCTGCACGTGCATGTTCTCTGCTATATATTTTAAATGCAGCCTTCATATCAAGGAAAAACATGCACCACAAGTTTTGAAAATAATTTAAAAATAAATGCTTCTGTTATATTCTCAAACTACATAATATATGAGATTTAATCAAATAAAGCAATGCAGTGTACAGTGTGTATATAGTGAAGCCAAAGAATTTTTATATCTGGTAATTTCTTTCAGTCTTAGTATTTTCTTAACATTAGGGTTTTTTTTCTTTAATGAAAAATATCCCTTTGTAGTAACAATTCCTTTCTTCTTTCTGCCCAGGAATTGATAGAGAATGTAGTAACTGTTGCAGAAAATACGGCTGATGAACTTGCTCGCAGTGATGGCCGAGAGGTCCAACTGGAGGAGGATCCTGACTTACAGCTACCTTTTCTTTTACCAGAAGATGGCTATTCCTGTGATGTTGTCAGAAATGTTCCAAGTGGTTTACAAGAATTTTTAGATCCTCTCTGTCAGAGGGGTTAGTTCTTCTGTTGCTTTACAATGATCTCCTTTGTTTGGTGTAGTGAATACAGAATGCAAAATACATTGTAGTTAAATGTAAACCACTTTCTTTTTATACTATGTACCTCAAGTGTTTACTTTTGCAACCCATAAAAAGTATGCAAAATTTTTAAAATCCTTACTCTTTCTCCTTTCCCCAATCATTCAATGTCAAGTTTCTAAATAAGCAGTGCTAAGTTAGTAGTGCCTGCTGAAACTTAGTTTTGCCTTTGCTAAAGAGGTCTTTTAATTTTTTTTTTTTAACTAAAGCAGCAAAAACTTACATAAATACAAATATTTTAATACTTCAACAATTTCACAGTCAACTTACTTTAAAAGCTAATGTGAATTAAATAGGGTGTTTTTTTACTCATCAGATGCTTCTGCATAACATTAAAAACACACAAGCTTATAGTTTTTTTGATGTTCATCAATGTTAGAACATACAGTTTGGGCATTTGTAGTCCAGTAGAACTTCATATGACGAGTAGAAAGGTCTTGTGGTTGGACAAAAGTGACCTATGCTTGACAAGGTGTAAAGCAAGGGGTCTGTCAGAACATTTACAGTGAATGAACAAATTGTGATCCTTATCTTGTGCTACTCAACTTTATTAGAAGCTTTTTTGTTATATAATTTCTGGTTTAAAAGTTGTTTAAAAAATTCAACAGGAATATCATGGTAGATAGGACAGCAAAGGAGACTATTAAGAAAGCAGACTTACTCTATCCTACACTGAAGTTTTGCAGGTGTTGGTTCCAACTTAGTTTATAGAAGAGCCACACTTTTGGATTTTTTTTTTTTTTTCTAAAGTAGGAAACTAACAGCTTTGAAAATACCATGTGTTACAGAGGATATAGTCTCAGACTAATGGAAACTAGTAGAATAAATTCTTTAATTGGGAAGTAGAATTAATTTGCCATACAAATCTCTGTAATAGTTATTGCAAGTAAGGCCTTTTTAATAGTGCCTACATTCAAAATTTTACTTTTCAGCTATCCCTTAAAAAATTATGCTGGGGGACTGGTTTACAGTAATCAGTGTAAACTGAACTACTGAAAGACGGTGTTTGTGAGGAGGTGAAGCTCACCTATTTGGATGGGGTAGTTTGTGATTTCATTGTGATGCAGATTCTCACTGTCTCTGATTTAGGAGACACTGTGGGATACCGCTTCAGCTGCTATGGCTCCTTTTTTCAAAATTGTAGGAATTGCTCAATTAAGAAAAAACAAATTGAACAAAACCCCACTTCTAGTTGCATAGTTACATTTGAAAAAGTTATGAGTCCAAGGCTTCACCTCTGCCAAATCTATGCTGAGACTGATTAGCTAGACTCTCTGCAAGGTGAAGTGGCGCTGCCTTACTCAGAGTTGGTGGTTTATTTCTAGAAGATGACCTGGTGTTTCATGTCTTTTTTGAGTCTGATTGGTACAAGCAATATTTTGCAGCTCAAGAGTTCTCTGTGAGTTTGTAGTGTTTTTTAAGTACATATATTCCTCAGAAGCAGCAGCTATAGTAGAACTGCAGGATTTTGTAGATGCCATAAAATTGCAGTGAAGCACATAACAGCATCTAAGATGCAACATAATAATGAATATAAAAGCCTAAATACTGCTGTTTGATTTCCTTGTGGAAATTTCCTATTTGATTTTAATTCCTATATTGATTTTAATTAGCTTTTAATAGCATGACTATGTTAATGTTACTTTCTCTTCCAGGTTTTTGTAGATTAACACCTCATCCACGGTCACCAGGCACATGGACAATATACTTTGAGGGTGCGGACTATGAAAGTCACCTGTCACATGAGAATGCTGAACTAGTAAGTATTGATCCAATGAATAATTCTCCAAACTGGTATCTTGGAAAGCCATTGTGTTTTATGTGATGAGTTTTTAATGCTTATTAGGAAGAAGAGGCTTCATTATTAAACATTTAATGAATTTAAGGAACAACTTGCAGATATGTGCAGATCAGTGTTGTTCTAGGCTGCGGTATGATATTATTCTCATGTAAGCAAACTTTGTCTGCAATATCCCCTAACCCTGGAGGCAAACAGTGAAGAAATTCCTTGTAAACATAGGCAAAATATATATGGACGTGTATCTCTAAATAACTTGTAATGTGAATGGAGCTGTAGACTGCTTTTATTTATAAGCAGGCAGTTCCCAACTAAATTTTTAGTATTAAGTTATAATCCGATATTTGGTTTTTGATAGATTTTCAGGAGAAATTCTTATTTTTTCTTTAGGTTATACTTACTAAAGAAGGATTTCACCTCAGTGTGACGTGGTGGTTTTTTTTTTTATTTTTTTTCTGCTGCAGTTTTGTTGTATGTCAGTTTTCTGTGGTGGATTGGGTTGTTTGTGGTTTTTTGCTTTGTTTTGTTTTGATTTTTTTAATATGTGATAGCCAAGAACATCTAAGTTAAGGAACAAATTGGTTTTGGAAAGATTGCGGCTTTAATTGAAATAATTTTTGTAGAAACTAAGCAGAAATAGCTTCATATTTATAATTAGCATTTCAACAAAACCAAAAAGGCAAACACAGAACTACAATTACTTTCCTAAGGCCTTCTATGGAAATTGCTTGTTCCTTGCTATGCAGAGGGACTTGAAAGCTTCATTTACTCTATTCAGAACCCAACATGGTATCTTGGCAATGGTTTCATCTTACAAAGCCTGCAGAGTGTGGCTTATCAGTTCAAGACTGGGCTCTGCTGTATCAGTCATACAGATTGAGGAGATGCTCTCCTAAGTCTTCCTTAAAAAGGCTTGATACGCAGGATGAGTGGATGCTACAGTTTCATTCATCTGTCATTCTTTCATCAGCATGTCAGACTGTTCAAATAACCTGTTCTGATCATTCTTTTCCCTGGTGCGTGCACGTTGATTGAATGTACTAAGGTTGAGAGTTCTAAAAGTCTTCTGTCTGGGTGTCCGAGCAGTGCTTTACATGCTGGTTCACAGATCACTTCTTGGTGCAGCATCTCTGCGTAATATAAATACTAGGTAAATGTTCTGTTTCATAGCTGTAGGTTTTGAATGGTTTTGTTTTCTTTCATTTTTACTCCCCAAACCAAAACTGTTTTCACAGCTCTGGTTCCACTGGTAGTCTGGGAAGTTGCCCACGCTAGACAGTCATCCGCAAATTTTCAGTGAAGTATTTCTTTTGTTCTCAGACCGAGAGAAATTTGGTACAGACTAATGGCAAAGTTATGCTCCCAGTGGCTTCCTTTTTCCAGTTTGTATGTTTTTTTTGTAGAATTAGTTTAATATTTTTATTTAAATGAATGGAAAAAATCCTAAATAAACTAGGAACAGATTCTGTTTTTCTGCCATCCTTGGCATAGCTCTGCTAGAATTTTTCTAGCTTAAAAACTACTTACTTATCTAATACTTAAACTGAAGAAAAAGATGTTCATATTTTTTGTAAATAATTTCCTTGAGTTATATTTTTACTTTGTCTTGGGTCACGTGGAACTTGCAGTTAGGTTTTAATAGGAATATAAGCTAGGGTGCTTTAACTTGCATGCTTCAGCTAACGAAGACTCTGACAGCAACTTTTTTGCATAAAAGGAGGTGGCAGTGTTGCAAAGATAGAAAAAAAAAAAAACCAACATGTTTTTTAGGGACTTGGCCTGTATTTCAATTACAGAGTTTTAGAAAGGAAATTTTGTAGAACTAACTTTCAAGGCTTTAAGTGTGGTTTTGAAATCAGTTTGCCTCCTAATATCTCTGCAGAATTACTATCTTCTAGATGAAGCACTAAAAACTGATCTGTGTAGGTCACTCTCACCTTGCTAATAGGGGCCTGCTGAGTTTAAACTTAAGTTTTCATTAAAAGTTACTACAATCCTGCTACGTTTCAGATGGTGATTCATTAATAAACCCTTTTCTGAAGTAGAGAAGGAGAAGCAGGTAGGTAGACTTCAAAGCTTCAGCAGTGTTCATAACACAGGTGTAGTATTTAATGTGAATTCACATTAATCAAATGTTAAAGATTCTTTTAAAGTGGAGTACCAGACATTTTATTTAGTGTGAGATCTGCTGCTGCACTAACAATTTACTTTTGAATGCAGATGAACTACTGTGTACTATGTGTAATAGTGTAATATGAATTTTTGTCTCTTTTGTTTGTTTGTTTTTCCTCTTCTTTCTTCCTTTTCTGTGTTTGATAGGCTCAGCCATTGAGGAAAGAACCTGAAATTATCACTGTAACACTAAAAAAACAAAATGGAATGGGCCTGAGTATTGTTGCTGCCAAGGTATGGAAGTCAGTTTAAGTGTTGTTGAAAAAAGCTTTTTTTTTTTTTTTTTTTTATCAGCCTGCAGTGGAAAATGTTAATGGTAAAATTTATTTCCCTTAAATTTGTTGTGCACATCATGTTGGTGGTACTTTTATTCTGGCTGGGGAATGTTTCTGTAAAATACACAGATGTGAACAATACAAGAGGAAACATAATGTAGTTATGATATTTAAGTTTAAACCTCTGTGCAGGTGTATTCACTTTTCAGAGCCAAAAATTTGCACTGTGATCAAATGGAATTAATAAACAGGCTAATATAGTACTTCAGCTGAAAAGTAGCAGAAGTACCCAGAAAAGAAAAACTGTAAATACAAAAAATAACATGTGGGTTTGTTTGGTTTTTTTAATTTGATGAATTAAAAAAATAATTCAAATATATACATTAAAGTTTGTATACTTTCTGCTATGAGGACGACACCTTATCTTTTGCACAGTGTACAGATGCATGTGTGACTTCAGTTTTGCCTCCTCATAGTAGAGAGCTACAGTGTATTCAGTAGCTTGGTGGAGGAGGGTATCTCTCGTGCCCTAACTTGCTAAAACTGTGGGTGTATGCTACTCTTAGGAGCACTTGATCTAACGTATAGACTGCACATACAACTCCAGCCACCAGATGGAGGACTCCACTAGTTGGTTAGTTTTGCTTTTATTAACTGGGTCCCATAGCAGACAACCTTTAAGTTTTAAGCCTCTTATAAATTATGCAACAGTGATATCCAAAAGTCCTTGTAATTATGTGGTGTACAACAGCTAGAACAAGTCTTTCCTAATGTCTCTCCACTGTGTAGTACATGAAACTTGAGAATGCTGTAGTCCTCCTTGGCACTTAGTGCATGGACTGAAAACATGATTGTTCTGATGCTTTTAAGTTTTCTCACATAGTTAGTTGCTTCTAAACAGCACTGTATTTTATTTCTACAACTTTCATTTCATAGTCTGTTGTTAAAATGGTAATCTTGGATGGTATCTGCTTTTAAGATTTGTTTATGACATCTGTAAAGGAATACCAGGTGTCAGGTATATATTGCTCACAATCAGCAGTTATTGAACTATTCAGAATCTGAAAAATGTAACATTGAGAGGCAAATACTAGATCTTGAGATACTCCAGGTTAAATATGTATCAGATTTCTGACTGCCCTCTGTATTTCTGTTGAATGTTTCAGAATGTGCAGTGGAAATTTTTTTTTTTTTCACTTTAAACTGTGTAATCTGATTTTTTTCATGTAGAGAGAAGCAGGCTATAACAGGGGAAGAATTTTCCCTTTTCACTGGAGCTGGCTGGCTTCTACGAGTTGAAAGGGGTTTTTTAACATGATCAGTGATGGAAGCAGCAGTCTTCATCTCAGCTTAGTTGCAGGAACACTAGCTGATTCAGGCAGTGATTGCATCTCATCTTGCTGCTATGTGCCTGCCACAATACTGGAATTCTGATTTTTAAACCAGTTATGTCTTAAATCTTGAAGTAAGCAAGAGGCAGATTTTAATTCTCATTTCAGTATATGCAGCTGTTTAATTTGAAGTCAGCAGAACATTCATTGGATAGAAATAATCATCTTGCATTGTGTTGAAAGAAGTTGCTGTAGCAGTTAAATAGGATTATTTTCAAGGCGTTACTTCAAGAGGTTCAAACTTGCTTATTGTAAGTAATTAATAGCATGTTTTTCCAATAATAAGCTTCATATGAACAACAGAGTAAGGAAGAATACAAAGGCATTAATTTTCTCAATCCAGCCAGAGCAGGCAGATTAGAGAATTGAGTGAGCGTGACTGAGAAGCTAGTAATAGTGGGTGGATTTTTTTTCTTTCTATTCCTATCTTGTTGACTTTTACTAATTTTTCCCACATGTCTTAAGTTGTGTGTATTTTACCAGCCTGATAATTAAAATTCTCTTCTTCCCTTTTGGCTGAGGAAAATGGAGGAAGAAGTCCAGTAGACTATTTGTTAAAATTTTCTAAACATTAACTGGATAGAATACCTGAAATGCGAGGGAGAGGAAGAATAGATTTAGATTTTTCTACCTTTTCAAATAGTAAAAGGTTGTCTGTCAGATGCTCATATGAAAGTACCTTACAGCTGAGGACAGGAAAGCTGTTTTAGAAATACACCGTGACTGCTGCAATTCACAGGATCCCCGTTTGATTGCTGACCCAATTATGTTTGATGAACTATTGGTATCTAGAGTGCTTCAAAAGTGCTGTAATAGAAGAGAGTGAAGCATTTGGTCAACAGGTGACCCTGCTCCAACCAGTGAAAGATAACCCTGAATCTTTTCAGCTGTAGTTACGAAAAAATTGGTTTTTTCCTGTGATGTGACAAAATAGTTGTTCTCAGTGACATGCTGTGAGAATGCCTTTGGATGTCAGTGCTGACTTGCTTTTCTTGTTAAGCCTTAATGGGCTCGTCATTGTCACTGGCTTTGGATGAAGTTTGTTAAAATGTGGGTTGGTGATATTCTAGAGATGGATGAAATGGGCAGATGCTCGTAATCTGAAAAGAAAATAATAAGAAAATAATAAGAAAGGTTCCTACTGACCGCTTTTAGTACTTCTTCCCATTGTAAAAAAAAATATCTACACTTTCCTAATAATCTGTGCTCTTCTCTGAGGAAATATGTAACAAATTTATCATTTGATAATTATTTGAGTTTCTTATTAGTTTGCAGGGGTTTGTAAATAAGTCTGTGCCAATTAAAGCATTACCAAGTGATTCTCACATCTTCTCTGCTGCAATCTAAAAAGATGATTGGAGTTGAGAAGTGAAAGCAACTTCCATTGAAATACTGTGCACCTGCTTGGTCTTACCAATAGGTGGTTTCAGTTTTGTGATACTAAATGGTTGTAAACACATTGACACTAATGTTAAAATAAAACAAAGCCAGAAGGGGTGAGTCAAGTTGTTTATGAAAGTGTTAGGTTACTGGGGAATCTATATTTGATCCTCTTTCCACCTAATGGCGAGGTGGAAATGTGGAAAGGCAAAATGTGTAAGTGCATTACTTCTAATTGATTAAAATGAGAGTAGCTGTGAAATAGATCTTCTTAAGGCCTGCTGGAGAGAGCAGAAATGCTGCACATCACCTAGTTCACCTCACTTTGCTGTAAGGGTGTTTTTCTGAGGCAGGACAGCCCTTCTCAGCAACTACATAGTAAGCATGTAGGCTATATGCATTCATACCAGAGAAAACCAGTTTAGTTATGAAACAACTGTTTGCTGCCAGAGCACTGTAAACGGTGTTGTGTGGGTTTGTTTGTTTTGTTTGTTTTGGTTTTGTTTTGTTTTTAATTGGGATAATGCCTAACAGCGTTTCTTAACGTGAATACTTTACACAGGTTTTTATTTTTATTTAAAGTTAAATTGTATAGTTTCAGATGTGATCCAAAAAGACGACTTGTTGTACAACGCTTTCATAGGTGTTGCATATTTTCTTACAGTAATACTCCTGTAGCTTTATTAGCAATAGCTTTTGTAATAGGTACATGGAAATGTAGTTGGTAGGAGTGGTCGGGCATTGGGAACAGTATTGCTTTTCGAGGTTGTCTGCAGACTTACGTTGCTCTAACCCTGAAAGATGTTTGGATGTTAAAAGCTGCCTGACTCCCAACCACATTGTGGTTAAATTTTTATGAAATCCAGATGATTTGGAAGCAGCGTGTGCATGCAGTTTACTTTAAAAATATATCGCTTTTTGGGGGCTTTCACATGTGACTTCTCAGCCATCTGTGGGCCAGCACATTACTTCCTGTTTAATTTGGAGGTTTTTTGTCTTTTGTAGAAAAGGGTTTGGTTGTTTTTTTTTTTTCCTAGCAGTTTTCAAAGTTTAATAAAGCTTCTAAAGTAAATGGAAGTCAGAACAGCATAACTGATTACGTAAGAGCTTGAATATTGTATTGGTTATAGCTGGTGTTGATAAATGCTGCACTGTGTCATAGCATCCAGCTCTGAGTTATCTTGATGGGTATCTTGGAAAATCCAGCAGACTAGAGCGGTGGTTGCTGTTGAGGGCTGAAAGAGAAGTGGAGAATTGTTTTTTTTCTTTCAAGGATCTGTAGTCCCGGAGATCAAAATGTGGTTTTCTGTTGTTGGAAGAACAGAATCCATGGTAAGTCTGTTCAGGTTTCTGTTGGGACTGTTTTTCTCTGAAGTTTTAAATACTATCCCTGTACTTTTTTTCCTGCTCTCTTGCTTGTTTAAACCTGCCAGTAGTTACTTGTTCGTGTAGCAACAATGTAATACAGCATGCAGTTAAACATAGTCAGATGGTAGTAGCTAACTTTCTAAAATCTAGAAAGAAAAAAAAAAACTAATTTTTTAGCTTGTTCTTCATTTGCACTTCTCAAATTTGTGGAAGTGGCTATTAATATTGAAAATTTCAGGTGTGATAACTACTGTTTTACTGTGGCAGAGCATGAATAGCATGACCCGTGATCTGTTTACTTGTCACATTAGTTGGCTTTAATCCAGGTTCCTCTAAAAGTCTGTTTTCCCCTTATGAAGCCTTAGTAGAATAATTAAAATTAAAATCGCAAACAGTATGTATAAGACTTTAATACTCTGTAGAACCTTCTGAAAAGATCAGAACGTGCAAACACATTGCAGTTAGGATGTCTTAAGTTCAACGCAGTTAGAGAGAACAGGCATTTAAATTTTGTTAGGATTACTATGGCACAAAAGAAAGGATTGCTGTGTTCTGCACAACGACAGAGCAGGTTTTGTTGATTAATATTTGCATGCTGGTTATATTCATTAGTATGCTATGATTTAGGTCTTTAAAATATGGCATACTTCTACCTCTTGCTCAGTCATCTTTTATTAGTATAACAGAAAAAGTTACAGAAGAATACATACAAGAACCTTAAAATACATAGGTATGTGCCCCTCCTGGCATATAAATCAGAGTGTATTTTCTAGCATTTTTTAACAGATGGTCAGGGAAAAATATTTTCGTAGTGCTTGCT